GAAAATCTTTCCCTGTGGGGTCCCCACCCCCACCCGCGAACCCAGGCGGGCCATCTGGAACCTGAAAATGTCGTCACTCTCGGGCTCCTCACGCCTGAATCCGGAGGACGTGTCCAGCGGGAGCCTCGTCCTTGAACGGATCGCGAAAAAAGTCTCGAGCGGGAACCCCCTCCCTCCACCGCCATGCTCGAATTCGAGCGGGGCATCCGAATTCTGCAACTGGCGTGACTTTCAGGGCTCGCTCCCCAGGCCTGCATCTGGCGGAAATCTCGAGTGGGGCATCCGCGAAGAGATCTCGAGCGGGAGCCCTCCCTACGTGGCCCCCGCCTCCAAGTTCGACGCTGGGGCTGCGAGCTCCAGGGCTGAGGCGGAGCTCGCGGCAGAGCTGGGCTTCGCGCTGCCTCCCGCCGGAGCGCGGCGGCGCCCAGCTCGAGGTCCGCGGGGTTGCCCCGACGACTTGCTCCCGCGCCCCAGCGGCCCAGCGGCCCACGGGGTTGTCCCAGCGGCCTGCCCCGTGGGGTTGCCCCAGCGGCTTCGCGGTCTGGCCATCGGAGAACGCGCCCAGGACTGCCGTGGCGGCGACGGCGCCGAAGAAGGTCGACCTGCGTGCCCTGGCCACAAGGAAGGGCAAAAGCGCACGAGGACGACAAACGGGATTGAGATGGAGGAGCGGGTGGAGGATGATGGTGATGATGCTGATGCTGATGCTGGTGACGGTGATGGTGATGGTGATGGTGATGATGATGATAATGATAATGATACTGATAATGAAAATGATAATGATAATGATGATGATGATGATGATGATGATGATGATGATGATGATGATGATGATGATGATGATGATGATGATGATGATGATGATGATGATGATGATGATGATGATGATGATGATGATGATAATGCTGGTGCTGATGATGATGATGATGACGACGATGATGAGGAGGAGGAGGACAAGGACGAGGAGGAGGAGGAGGACGAGGAGGAGGAGGAGGCAGGTGGGGAAGGAGAAGGCAGGAGGGGGTAGGAGGAGGGAGCAGGCCCAGCCAAGCTGAAAATATCATCACGTGGAGTTGTCCTGTCGGAATCATTGTTGTTCACATGCGGTGCGCTTCACGACTGCCGCCCTGGTTGGCCCGATGCCTCCCTGGCCCCCTACGCGCGTTCGCCCCATACCCTCAAGGCCCCCTCTAAGGGCCCCTTGGCCTCCCTCTCTGCGACGCGAAGCCGCTGCGGCACGGCGCTGGGGCACGGGACCCCGGCAGCCCCACGTCCGGATGCCTGGGCAAGTGCCCGGAGTGGACCCCCCTGCGCGCCCCAACACGGAGCCCGCACGGTGCCCAGAATGGGTGCCCGAGCTGGCTGGCCGCGTGCCCAAACATGTGCCCGAAAAAAATATACCCTGACTCCTGATCCGCCCTACTTTGGGCGATTTCGAAAGTAGGGCGGAAATTTCCGCCCTACTTTTGAGGCCCCTTTGAGCGTCGATTTCCGCCCTTGAGGCTCCTTTGGCGTCGATTTCCGACACAATTTTAGGTCGGAAAATCATCCAAAGTACGGCGGATCAGGAGCCAGGGTATGGCTGCGGCCCGGAAAAACCGGTGCCCAATGATGCGCCCCAGATGAAAGCGCGCCACCTGTGCGGCACTGCATCCTCGCGTCCGAACCACTCCTGGGCACAACGCCCCCCCCCCCCAACAAAAAAACCTTTCGGGGCACCAGCTTGGGAGCCATTTTGGGCAAAGCGTTACAGCGGGCCTGTCCCCCTTCAGGGGGATTGTGGACGGAACCAATGAAAAATACCCCCCGAATGCCCCCACATGGTTAAACAGATGCTCGAGAACAGTCCCCCGACTATTTGTTATGCCTATTTCGGACATGCTCCTCCTGTGGAGGGACGCGCCCGACTTAACAACGCGCCAAACAGCTAAGGGGGGGGCGCCGTGGGGCCCGCGCCCTTGGGCACCGAGGACCTCCCGAGCTGGGCCGGCGGAGGGCCGCGCCACGGCCGGGGGCGCCCGCGCACGCGCTCGGGCGTGGGCGCGGAGGCCTGTTGGGGCCGGCGCCACGCCTCTCCTCGAGCCCACGACGCCTGGAGGGCGAAGGAGGCCCTGACTCCTGATCCGCCCTACTTTGGGCGATTTCGAAAGTAGGGCGGAAATTTCCGCCCTACTCTTGAGGCCCCTTTGAGCGTCGATTTCCGCCCTTGAGGCTCCTTTGGCGTCGATTTCCGACACAATTTTAGGTCGGAAAATCATCCAAAGTACGGCGGATCAGGAGCCAGGGGGGGGTCTGCAACAGGGGGTCATCACTGGGGCTGGAACTGCCCATGCGCGCTCGACGTGTCGCTCAGGTACGTGATCGGGCACGATGGGCATCCCGTGTTGGCGGCCATGGAGGGGCCAGTCGGTCGTGCCCGCGCGTGGCCCGCGTCACGCAGGCCCCTCGGGCCAACGGGGCAGGGGGAGGGGGAGGGGGAGGGGAGGGGGAGGGGGGAGGAGGAGGAGGAGGAGGAGGAGGGAGGAGGAGGAGGAGGAGGAGGAGGAGGAGGAGGAGAGGAGGGGGAGGAGGAGGAGGGGAGGAGGAGGAGGAGGAGGAGAGAGGAGGAGGAGGAGGAGGAGGGAGGAGGAGGAGTCGGGCAACGAAATTCCTGAGCACCCTGGCGGCCCGGGCCGCTCGGCCAGGCGCGTCGCCCGCGCCGTGCGCCGGGCCACCTCGCCCCCGCCAGGCCCCTCGGGCCGACGACGCAAGCCCGCGGGGACAGCATCGCAGGCCCCGCGGGTCGCGGCGGAGGCCCCCGGAGGCGGCGGTGCAGATCGGCGCTGCCGTTTTCCAGCATCGCAGCTGCGCGTGGCGTCCCCAGACATGATGGCGTCGTAAAAAAATCAGGACGGAGGGTTTTTCGCTATTTTCGGCCCCTGGGGGCCCTCGCCGGGCCTCGGGACCGTCAAAAAACGACTCGGGACGAAAAACCGGCCCTGGGGAAAGGGTCTGGACTTCTGGGGACGCCGTCCTGAAAAAATCAGGACGTCGCATGTCTGGGGCGCTGCCGTTTTCCAGCATCGCAGCTGCGCGTGGCGTCGGGAGCACGAGGGTGTGCGCCACGCGCCGGGCTTAATCTCGTCGCGCGCACTCTCGGTGCACGTCGTGACGAGAGGGATGATAGGGGCACAAACGATTCTGGGGCACGCCCGTTCGGGGCCTTGGGCCCGCCCTACTGTCAGGTCGGGCGTGTCCCCCTACAGGGAAACGTTGGACGAAAATTCGCCGGCGCAACGGGCCAGCGGCGTGCTAAGATCCCCGGTAACTACTTAACAATATTTCTAGTTCGCGCGCGCGGGGCGGCCCCCTTGGGGGCCCGGGCGAAAAGTACCCCGGCCGATCCCTGGCTGACCCCTGGGCGATCCCCAGGGGGGCGGCTATTTTTCGCCACCCCTCACGAGGATCGTGGCCTCCGAGGGGGGGGCTGCCAACGACTACCCCCCCCTCCCGCCCCAAGGGGCCCCCAAGAGCCCCCCAAGAGGCCCTAGGGGAGCCCAATACGCCGCCAAGGAGCCCCAAGACGCTCCCAAGAAGCCCCCAAGAAACCCCCAAGACGGCCCCGAGAGGCCCCAAATAGCGCTCCAGGGCCGGCGGAATGAGCGAAGCGATTACATAAAAAATAATAAAAGCATGCTCAAAACATGCTCCAACATACTCAACAAAATAATCCCCAGACGATGTTCTAAAAACTATGTTTTAATATTCCCCCTGTAGAGGGACATGCCCGACTTAACCCTACCGTGAGAACCCTGCTCAACTGCAGTCAGCGGCCCTGCAGCCCCAGCACCCTCCCGGGAACGAGGGGGGAGGAGAACAAGCTGACGAGCAGAGGAAGGCCTCTCGAGGATCGGCGGACCCGAGACGAAGGCGGGCGCAGAAGCGTGGTGAGGGGCGGTGCGTGTAGGGGAACAGAGAGGTACCGACAGCGCTACTCCCTGAACTTCGCAACGGGTTGCGCTCCGACGGGAAAAGGTCGAGGCGAATCCAGCCGAGACGACTCCCAGGAGCCCAGGAAGCCTTACAAAGGCGAAAACGAGGCAGTGGCAGCGGCATCGGCGCCGCTTCCTCCTCTGACCACAATCGCGAGGCCAACACAGCCGTGGCGACGAGGGCGACCTAGGAGGCCCCCCAAAAAGCGAAAACGAGGCAATGGTAGCGGCATCGGCGCCGCTTCCTCTTCTGACCACAATGTCGAAGCGAATCCAGCCCTGGCAGCGAGGGCCTCCACAAAGAGTCCCCCAAAAAGGCGGCGACGAGGCATTGGTGGCGGCATCGGCGCCGCTTCCTCCTCTCACCATCCACACTTTCGAGGCGAATCCAGTCGCGACAACGAGGGCCTCCCAGGCCTTCAACAAGGCGAAAACGAAGCACTGGTGGCGGCATCGGCGCCTCTTCCGCCTCTGACCAGCCACAACTTCGAGGCCAATCCAGCCGTGGCGACGCAGGCCCCCAAAGAAGGCGAAACCGAGGCAATGGTGGCTGCATCGGCGCCTCTTCCTCCTCTCCACAACTTCGAGGCCAAACCAGCCGTGGCGACGAGGGCCTCCCAGGAGGCACCCAAAGAAGGCGAAAACAAGGCAATAGTCGCTACATCGGTGCCTCTTCCTCCGCTGAGCATGAGGGAGGGGCGTCGCCTTCGAGGCGAGGCGGGGCGAGGAGCAGCGCCAGGCGAGGCCTGGGCCCCTCCTCCTCCTCCTCCTCCTCCTCCTCCTCCTCCCTCCTCCCTCCTCCCTCCTCCCTCCTCCCTCCTCCCTCCTCCCTCCTCCCCCTCCCTCCTCTCCTCCTCCCTCCTCCCTCCTCCCTCCTCCGCCTCTCCGCCTCCTCCTCTCCTCCTCCTCCTCCGCCTCCTCCGCCTCCTCCGCCTCCTCCCCTCCTCCTCCTCCTCCTCCTCCTCCTCCTCCTCCTCCCTCCTCCTCCCTCCTCCCTCCTCCCTCCTCCCTCCTCCCGAGGGGCGTCGCCTCGGCGGAGCGCATTCGCACAAACGCGGAGGAGCTGTCGCCGTCAACGGAGGCCTCGCGGGAGGAGGCAGGGCCGCTGTTGCGGCTGCGGCTCCGCGCGCCGTGGGGGCGCATCGGAGGGAGCAGCCGAGGTGCCCGCCCAGACGAGGACGAGGAGGAGGAGGAGGAGGAGGAGGAGGAGGAGGAGGAAAAGGAGGACGAGGAGGAGGAGGAAAAGGAAGACGAGGGAGGAGGAGGAGGAGGAGGAGGAGGAGGAGGAGGAGGAGGAGGAGGAGGAGGAGGAGGAGGAGGAGTATAGCGAGGAGAGAGGAGTAGGAGGAGGAGGAGGAGGAGCGGAGGAGGAGGAGGATAGCGGGAGGAGGGAGGGAGGGAGGAGGAGGAGGGGAGGAGGAGGGAGGAGGAGGAGGAAGAGGAGGAGGAGGATAGCGAGGAGGAGGAGGAGGAGGAGAGGCGGAGGAGGAGGATAGCGAGGAGGAGGGAGGAGGAGGAGCATAGCGAGGAGGAGGAGGAGGAGGAGGAGGAGGAGGAGGAGGAGGAGGAGGCTGCCTCTAGCTTGCTGCCCGTCCCGCGCTCCCGCCCTCGACAGCCCTCGCATGCTGGCTTGCTGCCCGTCCACGCCCACGAGCGGGGGACACGTCGTCGTCGTCGTCGTCCTCGTCGTCGTCCTCGCCCTCGCCGTCGTCGTCGTTGTCGTCGTCGTCGTCGTCGTCGTCGTCGTCGTCGTCGTTTTGTCGGCGCTGGTCGCCGTCGCCGTCGCCGTCGCCATCGCCGTCGCCGTCGTCACATGTCGCCGCCATGGGCGAGCCCGTCGGTCGGACAGCGGGAGAGACACGTCATCGGCGCGGGCGAGTCGGTCAGGCGAGTGGGACATGTCGTCGGCGGTGTCGTCGCCCTCGTCGTCTATGTGACCACTGGGGGCCACCCCACGGGTTGCTTGGTACTGCTTGGGTCTCATATTGGAAGCGTGGGTGGTCAACAGCGAGGTAGGTCCGCTTGTCTCGGAGCATCCGCAGCAGCAGGCGGGGCGGGATGGACGAGGTGCCTCGCCAGGGGCGGGGGGGGGGAGAAAGAGTTGCAGCTGCTCGGCTTGGAGGGAGACCTCAAGCTCGAAGCAGCTCGGGCGAGGGAATCTCGGACTCACAGATGCGCGTGCGGACCAGCCCGAGCCATGCTCTGCAGGACTTTCGGCAGCAGGTCTGAGACACAGCTCGAAACATCTAGCGCTCCAGTATACCAGGAAAGCACCGTGCAAGATAAACACATGCATTTTCACCGTGTCCTTAGGATACGCGCACATGGCCCATCCCGTTTTCTGTCAGCAGGGCCTCCCCCCCCACGTGCAATGATCATGCTTTCCGGCGGCCTGCTTTCAATGGGTCTTCCGCAGGCATTGCAGCACGACGCAGGGAAAAACAAGGGGGAGTGCGGCCTTCATCTCGCAGAACACAGTCTCACCGTACTCGTCGAAGCAGTCCTCACATACATGTCTCCTCCTCCTCCTGCTCCTCCTGCTCCTCCTCCTCATTATCCTCCCTTCTCCTCCTCAATGTCTGCATAAAAGAAGAACCGCTGCTAAGCAAGCAGTGGGACGCAATCTACTCCAAGACTGTACGACGCTACGGCCACGCTCCGCGCACGCACGCACCGTCAACACACAGCACATGAGAAGCACTGTTTCTGGGAGCATCGAGGGCTCCGGGAAGAGGTTCGATGCCACAGACAGGGATTGAACAACCTTTCCGCGAGTATGTCTATATGCTTACCTTGCGGGTTTCACCTTCTACCAAAACCCATCTCCGTCAGAGCAGAACTTCACAGCAATGAAGGCCTAAGTTCCGGCTACCCACACAGTAGACGCTCTAAGTGGACGGGCCCATCTCTGGCAAAGGATTCCAAGAACACCCCTTCGCAAGGGCACCGGCGGCAGTGCAAATGCGCCCTTGCATCCATGGCATGGAGCGGCGGGAGGGGGGGATGGGGGATGCAGGATCAGGAAGCGAGGGAGATCAGGATAAGGATCGGAAGCGAGCGAGCGAGATCAGGAAGCGAGCGAGATCAAGGAGGGGGATGCAAGATATCAGGAACAGACGCGGGCGATGATAATGCAGAAGGATAGGGCATGGATGAATGGGGAGGGGAACAGGAAAGGCGAAAGGGGCAAGAGAGAGAGAGAGAGAGAGAGAGAGCGGCAGGGGAAAGCGAGAAGGGACAGGCGACGGCAAAGGAGGGCAGGGTCATGGGGAGGGGGGGAGAGCAGCAGCGGAAGGAGGCGGAAGCGAGGGGAGAAGGAAGGGGGAAGGGAGAAGAAGCAGAAAGAGGAGGAGGAGAAACAGGAGGAGAAGCAGAAAGAGGAGGAGGAGGACGAGGAGGAGGAGGAGGGAACGAATGAGGAGACAGTGGAAAAGAAGGCGGAGGACGACGATAAGTAGGGGACAGCGAAAGAGAGAGGAAAACAAAAACACAATAACCATAACGAATGAAATAACGAAGAAGAAAGAGAGAGAGAGAGAGAGAGAGAGAGGGAGACAACGACAACCTCCATACTTACAACAACAACAACAACAACAACAACAACAACATCACTTTACCCGAACGCTCAGTGTTCTCACCAGTGCCAGGGTTTTCATGCGACGCCAGCCAATACCCCCACTTTGTGGGGGGGCAGTGCAAGCTCTACCAAATATCCACACGACTCTTCGCCACCACCCACACCCAGCTTCCCGCCCTATGACGTTCGGACACTTCACTTCGTGGCCTGCGGACGACCGTGGCTACTACACTGGCGTGGAGTACACACCCACAGAAGTTGTTAAGCCTACGTTCGTACACCCACAGAAGTTGTTAAGCCTTGTTAACCCACAGAAGTTGTTAAGCCTTCCACGGACGTTTTATTCTCGGCGGCCGAGGGCGCAACCTATGGCGCAACCGCAAGAGATTGTGGCCCCTGGCAGGCGCGCGAACCCCGTTGCAAGAGCGTGCGAAAGTAGCTCGCGCGAGCTCATGTAACATAAATGTTGGAAAACCATTGGTTTTTTTAGGATTCGGACAGCGCGCGCGGGTAGAAATTTTGAAAAGTCGTGCAGGTGTTTTTCGAGGACCTACGGTGCGATTCGTGTGATTTTATGATGCGCGGTGCTAAAATTCTTAAGAAGCCCAATGGTTTTTGGAGATTTCGGCGTGCGCGCGCGAAGAAAAAACGAATGTGTCCCGCATGGTATTATTTGACAGGGATGATGGCCCTGGCAGGTGCGCAACCGTTGTCGCAGAAGTTCGAAAAAGTTGCTCGCAAAAGCCCGTTTGACAGAAATGTTTAAAAAGTGTTGGGTTTCCTACGAATCCGCAAGAGCGCGCGGGATGAGATTTTGACATTTTTTTGTTGAAAAACCATTAGTTTTTGATGTTTTTATGTTGAAATCGCTCCGAACACTAAGCTTTTGGAAGGATTTCGTCTTGCGCGCGCGAATGTCCACTTTACCTTATTTTTTGCAAAGGATTCTTGAAATTTGATTATATTAGAACAAGAAATGTCATTTTATAGTGTTTTTTGCAAGGGAAAGCGGGGGGAACAAAACAACCGGATCTTGATCACATCGAATTACCTGAGGCTTCCTCACGAAAATGATGAAAATGTAGCTGCGGCCTAGGCGGCGCAGGGGGGCCGTGCACCAGGGGTCCCAACAATAATTATTCTTTAGAATTCACTTTACCCGAACGCTCAGTGTTCTCACCAGTGCCAGGGTTTTCATGCGACGCCAGCCAATACCCCCACTTTGTGGGGGGGCAGTGCAAGCTCTACCAAATATCCACACGACTCTTCGCCACCACCCACACCCAGCTTCCCGCCCTATGACGTTCGGACACTTCACTTCGTGGCCTGCGGACGACCGTGGCTACTACACTGGCGTGGAGTACACACCCACAGAAGTTGTTAGGACAGCGCGCGCGGGTAGAAATTTTGAAAAGTCGTGCAGGTGTTTTTCGAGGACCTACGGTGCGATTCGTGTGATTTTATGATGCGCGGTGCTAAAATTCTTAAGAAGCCCAATGGTTTTTGGAGATTTCGGCGTGCGCGCGCGAAGAAAAAACGAATGTGTCCCGCATGGTATTATTTGACAGGGATGATGGCCCTGGCAGGTGCGCAACCGTTGTCGCAGAAGTTCGAAAAAGTTGCTCGCAAAAGCCCGTTTGACAGAAATGTTTAAAAAGTGTTGGGTTTCCTACGAATCCGCAAGAGCGCGCGGGATGAGATTTTGACATTTTTTTGTTGAAAAACCATTGGTTTTTTGATGTTTTTATGTTAAAATCGCTCCGAACACTAAGCTTTTGGAAGGATTTCGTCTTGCGCGCGCGAATGTCCACTTTACCTTATTTTTTGCAAGGGATTCTTGAAATTTGATTATATTAGAACAAGAAATGTCATTTTATAGTGTTTTTTGCAAGGGAAAGCGGGGGGGAACAAAACAACCGGATCTTGATCACATCGAATTACCTGAGGCTTCCTCACGAAAATGATGAAAATGTAGCTGCGGCCTAGGCGGCGCAGGGGGGCCGTGCACCAGGGGTCCCAACAATAATTATTCTTTAGAATTAATAATGTTCAATTACTAGCACGTGGGGACACTCCGTTCTCACCAGTGCCAGGGTTTTCATAGGAGGCGGGCAATACCCCCACTTTGTGGGGGGGCCGGTTCAAGCTCTACCAAATTTCCAAACGACTCTTCGCCACCACCCACACCCAGCTTCCCGCCCTATGACGTTCGGACACTTCACTTCGTGGCATGCGGACGACCGTGGCTACTATTCAGGGCCCCGCGGCCGACGACGACGGCGTGCGCGCGCGAAGAAAAAACGAATGTGTCCCGCATGGTATTATTTGACAGGGATGATGGCCCTGGCAGGTGCGCAACCGTTGTTGCAGAAGTTCGAAAAAGTTGCTCGCAAAAGCCCGTTTGACAGAAATGTTTAAAAAGTGTTGGGTTTCCTACGAATCCGCAAGAGCGCGCGGGATGAAATTTTGACATTTTTTTTTGAAAAACCATTGGTTGTTTGATGTTTTTATGTTAAAATCGCTACGAAAACTAAGGTTTTGGAAGGATTTCGTCTTGCGCGCGCGAATGTCCACTTTACATTATTTTTTGCAAGGGATTCTTGAAGTTTGGTTATGGTTAGAACAAGAAATGTCACTTTAGCTTATTTTTTGCAAGGGAAAACCGATCGTAACAACACAACCGGATCCGGACTCCCCCGTTTTGCCTGAGACTTCCTCACGAAAATGATGAAAATGAGGCTGCGGCCTAGGCGCGGCGGGGGGGTCGTGCACCAGGGGTCCCAACAATAATTATTCTTTAGAAAAATAATGTTCAACAACAACAACAACAACAACAACAACAACAACAACAACAACAACAACAACAACAACAACAACAACAACAACAACAACAACAACAACAACAACAACAACAACAACAACAACAACAACAACACAAACAACAACAATTACTAGCACGTGGGGACACTCCGTTCTCACCAGTGCCAGGGTTTTCATAGGAGGCGGGCAATACCCCCACTTTGTGGGGGGGCCGGTTCAAGCTCTACCAAATTTCCAAACGACTCTTCGCCACCACCCACACCCAGCTTCCCGCCCTATGACGTTCGGACACTTCACTTCGTGGCATGCGGACGACCGTGGCTACTATTCAGGGCCCCGCGGCCGACGACGACGGCGTGCGCGCGCGAAGAAAAAACGAATGTGTCCCGCATGGTATTATTTGACAGGGATGATGGCCCTGGCAGGTGCGCAACCGTTGTTGCAGAAGTTCGAAAAAGTTGCTCGCAAAAGCCCGTTTGACAGAAATGTTTAAAAAGTGTTGGGTTTCCTACAAATCCGCAAGAGCGCGCGGGATGAAATTTTGACACTTTTTTTTTTTTTTGAAAAACCATTGGTTTTTTGATGTTTTTATGTTGAAATCGCTACGAACACTAAGGTTTTGGAAGGATTTCGTCTTGCGCGCGCGAATGTCCACTTTACCTTATTTTTTGCAAGGGATTCTTGAAGTTTGGTTATGTTAGAACAAGAAATGTCAACTTTAGCTTATTTTTTGCAAGGGAAAACGGGGGACAACAAAACAACCGGATCCGGACACCCACGTTTTGCCTGAGACTTCCTCACGAAAGTGATGAAAATGTGGCTGCGGCCTAGGCGCGGCGAGGGGGCCGCGCACCAGGGGTCCCAACAATAATTATTCTTTAGAATAAATAATGTTCAACAACAACGGGAACGATAACCACAGCAACAGCAACAACAACAGCAGCAACAACACCAACACCAACAGCAACACCAACAACAACAACAACAATTTTTAAGAATGCTCGCGCTCTTACTTGCCCGTGTGTCCTTCAAGACGAATTCCCCACACCCTCGATACCCGCCCTTTTTGTTTTCGATCACACCCCCTTTGGGGGGATTAGTTCTCTTTGCGAGGGGCGGCGGGCTTAGACAGGCGGGCAAACCTGAACGGGTGGACAATCCTTCGTGGGCGTACATGTGCTCGCCATTGGAATTGGTGTGGGCCCTACAGAAAGAGGAGGG